CTGCCCCATATCCAGGCATGAATTTGTACAGATAATGGTGATACAGTGGTACAGATAATCCAGGAACTCTTGGAGCTGTAGCATCACCACTTACTCAACCATCTTTCATAAAAAGGAAAAGTGAGAAATAGACAATTTTTCTGAATTATCTATAACAATGGGGTCCAGAGATGGTTAGTTAAGATGATGACCCAATGCCACTTTAAAAGGACCCAGTCCCTCAAGGATAGGTTAATCATTGCTTGGACCTACTCATGTGTCATCTCCCAGATGGCCTTGACCAGTCATGAGGGACATGTATTTAGTTCATAGGTGGATGTACTTACAGTTCCAAGGACTCTACTATTTTTCATTGTCTTATCATAGTGCACTTCTAAATCAAACAAATAGGAAAAAAGCAGTCTTCTTGTTGGGCTCTGGAGATGATCTAAGTTTGCAGTTGATTAGTTTTCATTAATGAAATTAAATGATGCCTTTTGTCTCCAGAAGCTAATGCAAACAAAATCCATTTATCACCCTGGCAGTAGTTCCTGCAACAAAGTTAATGACCTCTACTGTTCTACTATCAAGGCAGTCTGAAATTATGCTTTTTGTGCAGAAAAGCCAAATCCTGCAATCAATCATTGTTGACATAATAATACTGTTAAATACTTTGGAATGGAAAGTAAAGCAACCTGCCCATTATCTTTAAGTGCATCTCGGAAATGGTTTTCTTTGTGTTTATAGAACAACCCTTTTATGGTTAGTCTAGGAAGGTGGCATTCTTTGCAGCATGAAATAGCTGAAAATACTTGTTGAAGAAGAAGTTCCTGCTTAAGTGCTTGATGTGTTATGGGGCAGGGATAGATGGACAGATAGATTAGATAGTAAGAGATATATAATTTATTTCCCAAAAGTGTAATGGTATTTATTTCTTGTATCAGTTTTTTGGTGCCGAGTGACTCATCTAATAGAATTTCTTCCTTGCTTCTCTTTTCAATTCAGAAGATATACTTAAATCATATCTTCAGTGACAACTCACTCTGCGCCAAAAAGCTTTCAAAAGCACTCAATATTAGCAAGGTGTTTGGGAAGTAGCATTGTTCAGCATCAGAAATCTGAGTCTTTTGTCATTCTCCCACTTTGCCATTCTGGTGACTTTCATTCTTTGTAGTGACCTTGTTTGAAAGATGAGCAAAAATCCTGCTATCTTTTTCTTGTTGTTGTAGTAGTAGTTCTGGTTGTAGTTATAGTGACATGTCTCACAAATCTTTATTTGAATAATCTCATAATGTAAAATTGAGTCTGCATAGTACACATGCGATTAAAGGCTTCCCCTTGTTTAATTTAATGAGTTTGATTGCATGTCCTGAGAGCTTTTTTTTTTTTTTACATTATTGACCTGACCCCCCAAAAATTCTGGTTTGTAGCTGTATGTTCTATAACTAGATATTCTCTTTCAAACAAAAAAAAATGAGTTTTTTAAATTAACCATTTAATTGTGATACTACAATGAAAAAATAGCATAATGTCAATATTTATTTCAATCCATTAAGGCAGATGTAGTTCCCTCTTTGGCTTTTAAAAATGAAGTTAGCAGTTTTTCTGGTTTAAAGCTCTGTGTTAAGTTTCGTTGCTTTAAGCTTGAAGTAGTTTATCTACTGAAATCTGTAAGCAGATTAACTTCAAAAATAGCTGATATTGCTATGTAATTCAGAATAAATCATGTAAGTAATAGTAGTTGCATGTAGCCAACTCACCCAACTGTTAATTGCTGTATCATTAGATTTATATATCTGTCATAGCATTAGCCTCTTTTTCTTTCTTTTTCTTTTAGACATTGAAGGAAGACAGCCATAATAGATTGTAACAGTAAAAAAATCAGAAGCCTGGCAGCATTTTTTCTAATAAGTTATACTGAAAGGCATAAACTTTTGTGAACTGCAAATAAAATAATTTTTTAATTAATTTGTTGGTCAGAAAAGCTCTTCTAGACTCTGTTTTCCCCCCCAATAATTTTTGTTTCTCTTTTTTGTGTGATGTCATATTAGAATTGCTTATGCAGATTTTAAAGAAAAGGAAGACTATTTCAGAATCACAAACAATCAATATGGACATGTAGATTCCATTAACTTTCTTTAATGATGCAATTAATTATTTCTTAGGAAGCATGATAACAATTTTATTAGCACTAGGGATAATAGCTACCAGTGTCTCTATATCATGTCTTTTGTTAAAACCTTTGCACATTTAGTAGCTCTACCCATTTATTATTTCAATTCCAATTCTATTCACTTGGTAGGAACAGAAAATTGTTCACCTGATTGAAAAAGTTCTTAGTCAAAAATAAGAAGGTAATTCAAATGCACTACAGACTTTTTCAGAGCTTCAGACTGAATGCACAAAGAAATTTTTCCAAGTGTCTTATAAATGGAGAAGTCAAAATGGTATGCATATCCACAATACTGAAATAAATCTTGAGTTTATATTTTAACAGAGTCTTGAAAGAAGAGTATTGATTCATGTGATCATTTTAAATATCAGCATATACTATAAATAGATCCCTCTCCATGTCTTTTCCTGAGATAGTAGCTTTCTAGAAAAGATCCTGATGAACAAACAAAACATTTTAATTATTTATTCAGCCATGAATGATATAAAGCAAAATCCCTGCTAAAATCCAATTTCCAAAGAATAATCAGAACCTATGCTCAAAGATGGGAGCTAACAAAAAGGAGTAATCCATAGGTCTCATAGTTAGGCAAGTCACAATGTACCCCTCGTGCTAGAAATTAATGGGTACCAATAAATGTCTGTACTGACAATTCCTTTTATAGAACAACGAAATATTGATATTTACTATTTACTTTTGATATTTACTATGTTGCCCAGTTAATTTGATCTGCACTTACTCTGTACACTTTCCTTTTATAATTCTCTTTTCTTCCTTCTATAATTTTTGTGTAAGTTGTTTGGAATAATATTTTCTGCAACGGACAGATTGTATACTTTTCTGAGAGCAAGCATATGCTTGCTTTAAAATCTTTTTACAAGATTTCAGAAAAACGTGATAGTAATATAGGAAAGCTGAATAGAATTACGCCATCAAAGTAACATGATTTATTTCCCTGCATGACCTTTGTCAGCTTAAAACTCTGATTCCATTTAAGTAAAGCTTTCCTTCATAGTCACTATGAACCTTGCTTTAATATGATAGAAATGCTGCCTACACATATTTCTGATTTTACAGAGTTTTTAATAGACTGTTTCTCTTTTATGCTCACACATACACCCCACTTTCACACATACTTATTTCATTTGTATAATGCCTGTAATTTATGGGCATTCATAATATAAATTTATTTCTGCTGGATAATCATTGACCTTCACTTAATATGACCTTGACCTGCATCTGAGTCATTGTGAAGAAAAAGCAACAGCAAGTGAATATATGTGACTGTTCAGATCACATCCGCTTGTTTTCTTAAGATATGGATGACCAGCTCCTGCTGACTTGAAGTTTGCTTTATTTTTCAGGCCACAATACAAGGTGGGTTATGAGGATGGTTGTCATGCCCCTGTCGGAATCTGCATCTGAGGAGGAAGCTGAACAGCTGACAGGGAGTGGGAATGTGGCTCCATTGGCTGTGGAGGAGGCTGGGGAAGGGCAAAGTCCGGCTGGGCAGAGCAGGGAAGAGATAGAACAAGGGAGAGGGAGTTCAGAGAAAGACCCAGACCCACCCCATCTTCATCCTAGGGAGGAATCGGAGAGAGGCAGGGAGGAACTGAGAAGAGAGCAACATAGGTTGAATGGCTTACTGGGGAGGAAAGGGCCCTGATTCCCTTCATTAGCCACAACTGGGAAGACAGTTGATAAGAAAGGCAGACTGCATGTGGCAGGCTGCTGGGAGCAAATGTGACTTTATCCTGTGTTGTCGTGCCTTATCTGTGTTCCTGGCATCTTCCCAACCGTGTGAGTTTTGCCATGACTTCAAGTCTGAAATTCTTGCTCCTCCTCTGCCAAGCTAATTACTTCAGTTTGGCTTGTTTGGACTTTAAGTTACAGTTTGTGTTGCTCATGTTTTGGACTTAATTTTCTGCAGTGAAAGGCTGTTCCTGGGAGAGTTTTTCTCCAGCCAGAAGGTAACCTGGACATTGGGGGCAAAGTTGGAGATAATAAAGGGACTCTTATTGCTTATCTGACTGTGTTGCCTTTGTGCCACGCCCCAGGTCATCACAATAGTTTTATGTTAAATTCATGCTTTCCTCAGCAGAAGAACAATTAGAAGGCCATAAGATTCAAACTGTTTTTTTTCTGAAGAAATGCAATTGCTTATGCACTGTGATTTCCTGTTGGTTTTGATGGATAATTCAGATTTATTAATATACCATTTTTTCTTAATCTAGTGAGACTATAAAACCCAATACTAGATCAGTATTATTATTGTTGTGATTCATTGCACATTCAGCCAGATGTTTAAAAAGTAGATTTTGTCCTTCCTATGGACCTAGGATACGCAGATCTTATTGTTTGATGGTGTTAAAGATATTGCTGCAGGATGTAACCTGTTTCAAGCAAAGCTGCTTTTTTGTAATTATTATAATGATTGGTTACCCAGTCAGCAAGTTAGACTGGATGTGACATTTTATCCACCTGTTGAGCCCTTCCCAAGGACCTGGGATAAGCAGATGTTGATATTTGATGATGTTAGAGATATTGTCGCAAGATGTAAGCTGTTTTGAGTACAACTGCCTGTTGCAATTGACTGATGGTGATTTTGTCATTCAAACGGTGCTCCAGTTGTTTTGGGATTGTATCCAAAGCATCTGTTACTATTGATATTACTTCTGCTTTCTTTTGCCACAGTCATTCTATTTCTTTGTATTTTGTTATCTTCTATTATGATTAGACATACTGTAAATGATTGTTAACTATACTATGCTAACTTTACTAAAAATATAGTTTCTGTGTTTGATTAACAATATGTTACTCTATCTTTGTGTGTATTTTTTCTTCACAGTGCCACCTTGGGCCTTAATAGCCATAGCCATAGTTGCCATCCTATTAGTCCTTACCTGCTGTTTCTGTCTGTGTAAGAAATGCTTGTTCAAAAAGAAAAACAAGAAGAAGGGCAAGGAGAAGGGAGGGAAGAATGCAATTAACATGAAAGATGTAAAAGATTTAGGCAAGAACTTGAAAGATCAGGTAAAGTATACACCATGTTCTTAAATTTATACTGTATTTGAATATTTAAATGTACAGACTGAGAGGAAGAGATAATGATATTTTATTTGTATTTTTTTCTCTTTGTGAAAACTCAAATAAAATTTACAAAAAATAAATAAATAATAAAATAAACAACAAAAATTATAACTATATTGAAAATTGACTAGTTACAATTGTTATAATGGAAATTTCTTAAATTTCTATCACACTATTTTCTTGATCAGCACCCTTAATTTGAGTTTGGGCTGCTACAGATGCAGCTCCTGGGTGTTTTCAGATTTGTAGCTCAGGTTCAGAACAGCTGAAGTTTATTAAGTATACTAGATTTACAACACATAATAGATATTTATATTTCTAAGAAGGAGTTCACAACATAGTAACCAAGATGGCTGAGTTAGCTTTCATCTCACAAAACCACATTGAGATTCCCCATCAAGGTAATGTTTTATTTATTTATTTGGTCTAAAAATTTTCAAAATCATCAAATTTGGTAAGATTTTGATAATCATAGATGACAAAACACCAAATGAGAATACCAAAATCAGGATTAAGAGTTTGTGATTACTACTTAAAATTTCATAACATTGAGGTGTAATCATCATATTGTATGCTGGAATCCAGTGTCTGAAGAGATTGCCAACCAATGCACAACAAAAAAAAAGTATTTTATTGATTGATTTTCTGCTATTAAGGCAGTGTTGTTGACTCTCAGCAAACCCATAGTCAAATTTTGTTCATTATATGCCCCTAACCTGGTCCTTCAAGTCTTCCAGAAGTGTACCCATTGCCATTGTACCATAGTCCATTCACCTTGCTGCTGGTCTTTTCCTTATTTTCTCTCCTTCCACCTGTCCCAACATCAGAACCTTCTCCAGAGAGTTAGGTTTTTACATAGCGTATAAAAAGTATCATAATTTGAGCAGGGTCATTTATGCTTCGAGTAAGAACTCTAGATTGATTTATTCTTTTATATGCATATTTAATTAGAAATAACAACCAAGTTAGTATCTGGAGCACAAATAAAGCATATTCTATTATTCCTTCTGTAGCATACTCGTCTGGCTCCTTAAGTCTACTTGTAATAAGGTATAGCCCAGGTTATTGGGACTGTCATTTCTTTATCCCAAATTAACCTCAGCCCATCTTATTAACAGCAAAATGTAAATAAGGCTTTTTGATCAAAGAGTTTGATTTTTTCCACTTCTTTTTAAAGCAATGATTGCTAAATACTAGAATATGAATGGTAAAAGTTATTCCTTTTATGTCAAATTTTATGTCAAATTTGATGAAAGAGGAAGATTATGAAGAATAGCTTTTCATTGATAGTATTATGTGTAATCAATTTATATCCCTGCTATATGAATAAAGAGCAGCCCTTAGGTTATGTACATTGCTAGTTACTGATAAATTCTATCAGAAGTGCTACATAACTATTCTTTAACAACAGCACGCTACCTCCCAGTGAAATGTGAATGTTGGTGTCATGGAAATGCATCTTTTGATTTGCCAAGCAAGTGTGTGCAGAATTTTCTAGAAAATGCTCTATAAATTTGATAAAACCAATATTCTAAAGGAAAGTTATTGCAATGAAGAACAAATGAATAGCATCTAAAGAAAAGTGAACTAGCCCACATGCAGAATTTAGAATTAAAATTTATTTGATAGTATATTCTTGAATTAAGCACTTCTTGTTATAAATGTTATAAATGTAGGTGATAAATTTGTCCTATTATTTATAAACTAATAACATATTGGTAGAAACTTGAAAAGGTTAGCACTTTATTACTTAGCTCTATGATTAAACAAATATGAGCCCACAAATTTGGATAAGTTTTAGGAAAGATTTTGGGGGATTTTAGGATTAGCAAAACCATATGTTGTTTGAGGTAAAGTAATAAATATTGTTAAGTCACCTTTATATCATCAAGTAAGTTATTCCAGCAGTTACTGTGGAAACTCACTCAAGGAAATCCCTGGATATAGATATGAAACAATAATTAATAAAAATAACCAATTATATGTGATTTTTTAAAAATACTCAAGTCACTTTCCTGGAGGAAGTCTTATTCTACGTAATGGTAGAATTGGTTTCACTTTTCCAGTAGACCCTTCTACTTTCTGCTCACTCTTGCCTTGGACAAACTGAGATAAGGGATGAAGGTGTGATTTTGCCACAGACATTTCCCTTTGTCCCTGAGATTTTAAAATGTTAGCTATTCCTTTACACTAATAAAGTACACCTTTACACTAATTGTCAAATATATATTTAAACTATACTGATAGAAATCCTTCTGTTGCTCTGGAACTGACATAATCTTTGATGTTCCAATAGAAGAGAATAGGGTTGAACAGTGGAATCCTTGGTGCTACTGAAGATGTTAGCTAGTCAGGTAATGAACTGTATGCAAAAAAAAAAGGCAAGCCCAAGAGCACCAAGAACTCATTTTCATTGTTTAACAGTTGTATTGGATTTTTGTTCAATGCACAAGTAACTGATGCAATAAATACAAAATTGTCATTGTTCATCTCTTATCTCTCCTTTCATTATGAAGTAGAACACGTAGTCCAACACTATGATTCAGTTGCATTATGGCACTGGATCATCATTTTCCTTGAGATGGATGGAGAGAGAGAGAGAGAGAGAGAGAGAGTGAGAAGCAGGCAGGCAGGCAGGCAGGCAGGCAGGCAGGCATGGACAGGCAGGCAGGCAGGCATGGACAGGCAGACAGGCAGGCAGACAGATGGATAGATGGATAAACAGACAGAAGGACAAACAAATAAATGGATGAATATGTATATTTATATGTTTTGTTTGTATCAATATCTTCATGTGAATTTCCTATTAGCTTGGAGAATTGAGTTAGATGCTTAAAACAATAAATCCCTCTGTAAGGTGCACTAGTCAGTTGCACTATACAGGTTTTCATTTCAACAGAGAAATTTAAAATCACTAGCTTATCACTGAGAACCTTAAATTTTAAGAACAACTTTAATTAATGAGTTAACAATTCAGAACTGATTTAGCCATTTTTAACCCATTCTGGCAATAGCAAATATTTGTTTGTAATATATATGTTAATTGTGACTCATTCTTTATTACTGATCAGTTATGGTAATTGTAATCGATATTTCATTGGAAGATAGTCTGAAACTGCTCTTTTAGGGATCTATGGAAAAGAAACTTTGTACATTGGTAATGATTTAATGATAACCATCTGTTATGCTTTTTAATAGGACAAACTGAATTTATTTTGTTGCTGTATTTTTGTGCACTTTGTTATGTCTTTTTAATAAAGCGTTTTTCTATTATAACAGTATATTATTAAATGTGTTCCATTATATTTGTTGAGATCTGGATAAATGACCAAAAAGTTATTTAGTGATTCTGGTCAACCTACAATTAAAAAAGAAAGAAACAATATGCATAGTAAAAAAAAAAAAATCTGACCAGAAGACTAATTCAGTAACAGGGGAAAAAAGTATAACAACCTATAGTAGCTTGTTTTATGGGCATCTGCAAGAAACATTTTCCACTGATGTTTGTGGCTAATTCCATCTTACTATGTGAATTTTAGAGCAGCCTTTTTCTTATTGATCATCCATCTTGTTTGAAGGTCGTGCAATATTAAGTCCATTTTTTTTCTAGAAGGCACCTGATTTGGGATGGCTGTTTTGAGAATGCAGGAAAAAATATTTTCTAATCTTTTACATCATAAATGCTGTCATTATTCAAAAGAACCTTTTTTATGTGTCCATGTGAATAGACTCCATGTACATACAGCATTTAGAATCATGAATATAATTTAAAACCAATGGTATAGTGATTAGATTTACCTTAAATGTCCCTATTCAGAAATAAGTCTCACTGCCAAATACAAAAATGTTCAGACCCTTGCCATTCAGGAAGTACACTCTATAGCTCTATTGAGATTCCCTTTTCTAGCCAATGATTAACTCCAGTCAGATGGCAGCAACTTGTCAACAGTAGCTGATGTCTATTGCAATGATGGAATTCAAAATTTTTTACTACCAGTTCTGTGGGCATGGCTTGGTGGGCATGGCAGGGGAAGAATACTGTAAAATCTCAGTCAGAGGTGATATTTGCTGATTCTCTGAACTACTCAAAATTTCCACTACCGCTTCTCCAGAACTGGTCAGAACATGCTGAATACCACCTCTGGTCTGTTGCCAGATGTCAGTCTTGGTTAATACAGGGATGGGAAAATAAAGTGTATCTTTTCCACTGGGGAGTGAAAGACAGGGCAAATCATTGTCATACAATTACCAAGAATATGAAGTTGCCATGAGTAAACTCTTTTGAAGGATATTTAACATTGTCCTTACAACTATTAAATGCATGCCCTTTTTTAAATCTCACTACCCTACCCAAATCAAGTTTACTTGTATTTTCATTCTACTGTTTTCAATAAGTTTTAATAAGTACCTTCCAGGGTACATCATATTTATTTTATGTGTATAATATATATCCTTAGAAATAGGAAAAAGAAAGGTCGAAGATTATAAGTCTTAAGTGTATTAAAAGGTTCAGTAGAAAGAATATATGTAAAAGGTCATTTCTCCATGGTTTTACTAATATTTTTGTGTGGATGTTTTAATTTTTATTTCTTCCTTCTATGTCCTCCTTATCTATGTTGTGTCTCATGACTGTTCTGGATTGTCACTTGCGGTAGGTTTATTTTGCTCTTTGGACACATGTAAAGCAGTGGTGGGATTCAGATTATTTTTACTACCAGTTCTGTGAGCGTGGCTTGGTGGGAGTGGCAGGGGAAGGTTACTATAAAATCTCCAGTCAGAGGTAGTATTTGCTGCTTCTCTGAACTACTCAAAATTTCTACTACCAGTTCTCCAGAACTGGTCAGAACCTACTGAATACCACCTCTGATGTAAAGTAAATCTCTAATGTACTTAATGCCCCAATAGCTGTGGCTCCTCAGCCTGAGATTTATGCAAAGCTTTTACACCATCAAGAGGCTGAACTAAATTGATTTATTTATATTACAGGATTTAATACTCATTTCCTTTATTCTCTGTAACTTGTGCTAAGCTGAAAAGTGTTAGACATTTCAGATTTTGATGTGCACAGGTTTTGTTTTCTTTTTGGTTACATGTCAAAGTACCAGAATGGCTGTATAATTTTCTGATGCTATTTTTTTTCTTGTTTGAAAGAGGAGGGAAATTTGCTTTAGTTCAACCTTTGTGAAAAGAGGTGAGCTAATCATATAACTGATATACTGAAAAAAATATTAGGAATTTAGCAGCATGTCTCAAAAATAATTGCATCATTAGTCTCTAACCTTTATTATGTCACAATTTATTAACAGAGAGGAGAGCACTTTAAATTATATCAGGCTGAATTTTTTTTCACTAGCTAAATTATATGGAAAGCATACTTCATGTTTATACTGAGCTATTGGGATTCAAGTATAATTTCTAGCAATAAAAGTGTAACAACCTAACATTGCAGATCAAGATAAAGATTATTTATTTTAAAACAGGAAAAAAGGAAACATATATGGGATTAGAGAAGATGAACAAATACTCTTGTGAATAATCTAATTTAATTTACCAATATATTTTCCACCAATCAAGTGCCTCTATTCAATTCCAAATGGAACATGAAAAAAATTCAAATTTCTTCAAAGTAGTATATTCCAACTGAACTCTAGAAAGCATATAAATGGCTTTGAATGACAGTAAAAACCATGATAAAGAACAGACTAGCATGGCTTAGGAAGTCATTGCAAGAAACTAACTTGAAGATTCACACAAAGATAGAGGGCAAGCCTATTTTGCCTTGCAAGTTTTTATAACTTGAAGCTGTTATACTAAAATAGTTAACCTATCTGTTGTTGGTTTCTACATCTGATCTACCATACAGGGCAACAGAAAATGTTGGAATGTAGTCTTTCAGAGAACTCCCAAATTGATTCTTATTGAAGCAATTTGCATTTATGATCAACAATATTATTCTTATCTTTATTTATACATAAAGTTAAAAAGTGCTAAAAAAAACCAAAATTAGAATGCAAATGTTATAGTTACGAATCAAGATGATGAGCAGCCTAGGGGTGAGAATCTTATCTATCCCATCAGCCATTCCCAATGTATCAGGCCCCCTGTGGGGGCTCCAGCCCAAACAGACCCAAGTTTTTAGGTTCTTCCTGTAGGCCAGGAGTGTGGTAGTGAATCTCACTTTTAATGGGAGGATATTCCAGAATGCAGAGGCCACAGCAGAAAAGGCTCTTGTCCTGGATTCACTGCCCAAAATTTGTTGGTGGATGGGATCCTTTTCTGCGGGAACAAATGGGGAGGATTAGTCCAAAAAGGGTAAGATTCCTTTGGATCTACACCCTGAAGCCATGCCATAAAAGGTTTGAAATACCTTTTATACCTTGATTAGACCCAGAAACAAATTGGATACCAGTGCAGCTCATGTAACAATGGTGTTACATGCCACCTCAAGAGCCTACAGAATTATCTGTGCCACTGAATTCTATACCAGTTGCAGTTCTGAATACTCTTCAAGAGTAGCTCCATGAGAGACTGTGCACAGGGCCTGGATTGTTGGTCTATCTGTGGTGCAACCCCATCCAGACCTAAGGATGATGAACCCCCAGATCCTGAGGCCTCTTGAACGCACAGAATTATCAGGGTTCATATGAAGCCTATTGTCCCCCATCCAAACCCCAAGCACTGCCTCTTGAGACTGCTTTTTAAAAATGTATTTTTATTGGAAGGATTGTTTATGAGGGGTCCTTGGTACTCTCTGAGCTTGCTTGTTCTCTTGCAGATGTTTCATTACCCAAACTAGGTAACATTTCAGTACTAGTGACTGTCTCATGATTCAGACTAGCATTGATGATGTTATCTAATTTGGGTAATGAAACAACTGCAAGAAAACAAGCAAGTTCAGAGAGCACCAAGGATCCCTCATGTCAACCCTGAACTATAAATATTCTCTTTTATTAGGATTGTTTTTTTTGTTTCATCTGAGTTGAACATTTTTAAAATCCTTTATCTTGTTTTCTTAATATATTTATTAAATGATATAGTAATATGTGATTTGTGGCTTTATTCTTACTATTTTTGAATCCCAAATTACGTTGAATCAGATTTATTTTATAGAAATTAGATAATTCTATTCCATTATCTCAAAAGCCATCAGTGCCAGTTGGCATACTTATAAAGAAAAAAGAGTAGAGACTAAAATAGAAAGGTAAATTGCCAGAATGAGAATGAGAGTTTTTTCCACATACACCACAATTTATTTTCATACTGCAAAAAAAGCAATTGATGTCATATTTTTATACATTTAATCATACAGTTTATGTCACCTAAAATAAAACTTTAAGCCTATTTTTTTTATGAAATACATGATGAAACAAATTTAAGTTTCATGCTAACTAAAATTGACAATCCTAAAATTTCATTGTAATCACTGGATCTCTTTTCCCTGTTGTTTTAAATTTAAAAAATGGAATGCAATCTCGTGATGTTTATACAAAAATGTCATGAGATTCAATGTAGCTGGTACATATCAGATAATAACTAACTGAATTAAATCCTTGAACATACTTTTTTGAGAAACCATCCCTATTGAGTAAAATGTTAAACATAGATATTTGGAAATAAGTCTCAAAAGTTGGCATACAAAATATTGTCTGCCCATTTTTAAATCTAAATGATAATAAGATGGAATTTTGTTTCAAATACTGCTTCAATCAATACTTTTAACTTTTTCTTTTTTATAAAGTCTCTTGGAAATTACTCTCAGTGCCTTCTTAAAATTAATGATACTTTATTTCAGATAAATTTGCATGTGTTAGTCATCCTTAATTGTTTAAAAATGACATATCTTTAAATCACTTTGGTTCAGCCTATTTTTAAATTAATATCCAATGAAAAGAAAAAGAGAATGAAAGGAGTCCTGATTTTTTTGTGACTGTACATTTGTTAATGCCTTAGTGGTACCTTTGCTTCTACATTCAACCTAAATGAAAACAAAAACATTGAAGCTGTTTGACATTTTACTTTTTGAAGAAATTATATGCAATAACATTAAAATAGCAGTAATTCTGCCGAAGCACTTTGCTTTAATGTAGATAATTCATAGCATGTACAATTGATTTAAATTGGAGGACTTTGCTACTTTGCTTATATAATAGCATGCTTATTCACAACTGTCTTTGGACAAGCAGTATGATTCAATTTGATTTTTAAAAATTAAGTATCAAGTTGACATTCTCTTTGTGTTTCAGGCATTGAAACAATTGTTGCTTGCAATATCCCCAAGAGAGGCCTTTTCCTTCTTTCCTAGCTGTTTTGCTGCTTGCTGCTGATAATTCATTGTATATTTGGACCAATCTAAATATATATAGACAACATAATGCCATCATGCTTGCTTTTTTGCTTCACAAGCAGAAGTACTTGATTTTATTTTGTGATGAAATTATTTTAGGACTTTGCTTATAAATCAGTCATCTTTATTGGCACTTTTATTGCTCTTAATTGTTTACAGGCCCTTAAGGATGATGATGCTGAAACTGGATTGACTGATGGAGAAGACAAGGAAGAAGCCAAAGAAGAGGAAAAATTAGGGAAAATCCAATATTCCCTGGATTATGACTTTCAGAACAATCAGGTTCGAAACAAATGTGATTTTAGAATTTTATGAATTAAAACCCAGTATTGATAATCTGCAGAAAAGTGCTATCCTGTCTCTTAGAGTATAAATGGTTAACTCAATTTCTCCCTTATCTGGAGATGTTCCACAGAACCAACTACTCACTGGTTCCTTGGTTTTTGCAGTAGTTATTGACTTCACTTCTTCAATTTGTCCTATCTTTCTTGGAAGTCAACTTTCTTTGAATAGTACTTATTTGGATTATCATTGACTGTTGCTTATATCCTAAGAACTACCAAATGAACAGTATACTGATTTTTAGATTAAAATATAATTTATTAAAATATATGTTCTTAATCATTTTTACTATACCTAGACTTCCATGACTAAATCATAAAAGCTTGCTACAGGTGTTTTCTTTTTGTATCCAAAATCTCCTTATCAGATTGCCTATGTTTGAAAACTTAAAACACTCTCTTTAAAAATAATAAAATAAATATAGCTCTATAATACAAAATTATACCAACTAAGCAAACACTAATCAGTTATTAATTTATATGTATCAAATCTCATTTTCACATCCACAGCTAATAAAAGATGTTAACTTTCATAATTAATCAACATGTCAATATGTTTTTGTTTCTATAGTCTATTAAAACACTTCTCTGTATCATAGTATTATATTTGAGACACAGCTAAATGGGAAATATAATTAAATTATATTTACATTATATGTGCATGTACATAAAAGATTGTGCTAGTGTTTACCACAATGGTAATACAGCCTTCATATACATTTAATATACATGCCAGGTACATTCTTCTTAATATTTTTTCCATCTATTAACAATTTAAATGTTACCTCATAATCATAGGCAGGGTAGTATAAATTAAAATCAGTTGTATCATTTTAATTTATAATTTTAATGATAATTGATAGTAATTGGTCATTTTAATAATGACTATATGCAGGTGGATAAACTTCACTCCTTCATATTTCTAATACTTTCTTATAATAATTTCCAAGATTCAACTTCTATCAAATCTTTCCATTAACTTAAGCTGAATGCCAAGTTTTTATCATGCAATTTTGCATCTTTCTATTGAAAAGAGGGAGGGAAAGCCCAAGATGGATTCTCTAAGCCAAAGGTTAGTTCAAATTATAGCTACTTAAAGCAAGGCATTTCAGTCCTTTTAGAGTAATCGTTGGTTGAAGTAATCATTGGTTGAAGTAAAAATGAAGTACATTTTTCTAGTTCAGATACATCCTGAGAAGAGGCTTCATGTAATTCAGCTCCTGTCCTGTGGTAATCCTTTAGTTTACTAATTCCTGAAGCCTGGCTTTGGTTAAAGTTTCATCTGGTCCAGAACTTAATAGGCCTTACTATTCTCACATATTCCTAACTCAAAGAACACCAGAAAACTAAAAGACTAGTATGTATGTATTAATGCACCGACATGTCAGGAACAAGTTCTTCTTAAATGTCTGATTAAAATTTTGCTGAACTAATTCTTTCCCTCTGTCTCATCTCCTTTTCCAGCTTCTAGTAGGGATAATTCAAGCTGCTGAGCTGCCTGCTTTAGATATGGGTGGTACATCTGATCCATATGTGAAGGTTTTCCTGCTTCCTGATAAGAAAAAGAAATATGAGACGAAAGTTCACAGGAAAACCCTTAACCCTGTCTTCAATGAACAATTTACATTCAAGGTATTATAGTGTCCTTTCTTTTTCATGACTTATGTTTACTAAAGTTTAACCATATACCTTACCAAGGAATTGCTTATAGCCTAATTAATTCTTATTGTTAACACAATGATTTTTTTAAGTAATACCTATTTCAGAGGTTGCCTTCTTGTAAAAATATACTTAAAAACAAGAATATTCCAACTGTACTCACAAGCCTTGCTGCTTTCTATCTTTCCTTAATATTGTCTTAAATTTGGGAACTTCTGGTTTGAGCTTCTTCAGTGACAGACGAAACCTTGTCTCTGCGAGGCTTCGATCTGTGCTCGCCACTGGAGCGCCCTGAGCCAGCTGGTTTCAGGGCTAAGCCACCCTGTAGAGGTGGTGAAGAGGGGGGAACCTGCCAGCAGGGTTGAGGAGAGCCGCATCTCTCCTCCCCAGCTGGCCATTACTCCCTTTCCCGAAGGCGGTTGCAGTGGTGGTCAGAAATGGCCATCACAAAGAAGAACTCTACCAGAAAAGAATGTGCAGGAGGAAGATAAGAAGAGAAAGTTTTGGTTGACCGGGTCAAACAGCAAAAGCAACAAATAAGGTACCCTGGAATTGAAACTGTTAAAAAACAATAACATTGTTCCCTAAGAAATTTTTAAGCTGCGAAGGAGAGAGAAAAAGGAAAAGATTTGGGTTTTTTTTTCTCCTTTTCCTATACTGACAGCTAAGAGACTTAAGCAAGAAATTGGAAAAAAAAATCCACTTTGACATCAATAGGCATTTAATGCTGAAAATAAAAACTCAAAGGGATAATAAAGATTTCTGGATAATTAAAAGCTTTTGAAAACAGGAAAGGAGAGAGGAAGAATAAAAGGGCAGGATCTGGAAGAGAGGAGACTGCTGGAATTAAAAAAGAACTTATAGCAAAAACTCAACAAGACTTCCAAAAGATACATTCTAACTGAAATATCGCAACAAAAACCCCAGGAAGAGAAAGTCGAAAAAGAAATAAGAAGATATAACTCGGGGACTATCTGGATTACTTGCTGATTTCTAGATTCTTGGTTATTGTTTTGAATGACTAAAATCAATCGGGTGGTTGTTTAAAACTGTTTAAAATGGCTCCACTTTTAGAAGAACTGAAAATGGAACTTAAAAAGTACAAAGAAGATGCACAAGAAGGGAGAGGTTCTTTTGGCTTCGTATTTCAATTTTTAGAAATGGAGATTTGGAATTATGAGAAACAAGAAGAAATGCTTGCAGAACAAGAAGATTGCGACAAAGAAGCTATCTTTAATGAACAAGTAATCTTAGATGGGGGAAAAAAGGAAAGGGGGGAAAGAGAATGGAAAGTTTAAGATTGGGAAAAACAACTCCAAAAAAGAAATAGAGTGAAAAATAAGTATAAAATCAGAACGCAACAGAAGACGGAAATGCAGAAGAGAGAATTAGAACTAGAGAGACAAGGGGGGGAAAGGGCAGCGAGAAGATGAGAGGGAAGAAAGAAAGGAAAAAAAAGTTATAAAGGACAGAAGCAAAATATAGAGAAACAGGGCCTATTTAGAGATAATGGGTGAAAATTAAATGGAAAAGGGGATTCTGCAAAGATACATAAGATAGTATGGTTATATTAGAAGCAGAAATAATTTTAGAAAATATGAAACAATGTATGATTAAAATGTCTGATAAAATAGCTATTGTAATTCAGTGGAATGCTTGTCAATAAATAAATGTAACAAAAGGTATATTTAATGATTTATAAAACATATGTAATGAGAAATAAGGGAAAAATTAATTATCGAGATTATATGTGTTTTTAAGGAAGTATGATATTTAATTGAAAAGAAGTTTTAAAGATGTTAAGATTTTAATGATTATTAATGATAGAACAGAACTGGAATGGAATGAGGGTTTATAATTACATATATTTACAATCTTTCTTCTTTTTTTTAAAGAATATAGTGTGTATTATAAGAATGTACCAAGCAGAATTTGTTTGGAAGTTATGTACTATGTATTATATTGAAGGTCATAAACTCAAGCTATATATTGAAGTTTACATAAGAGTTGAATGGATGTAATTAAAAGATATAAAGGTGTCATCTTCCAATCAGTAACTACAGGAGAAAATTTGTTTAATGAGAAAAGATAATATGAAATTGAAACAGAACAGACAAAAGTATAAATATAATGATTTGAACTGAGATGAGATAATCAAAATAAAATTGAGAAAATTAAAAGAGGGGAAAAACTATATAGAAAATGTAAAATAGTATAAGATATGGAATAGAATACAAAAAGGAGCATGAAACTGAGTTTTGTGTCTATATAAAGAAGTTCAACCTGGGACCATGCTATTTTCAAAAAAGATGTTTTACTTGTATTTTGTATGTGTGAAAACCCAAATAAACCTTTATTTAAAAAAATATTGCCTTAAATCTGATTGATTTTATTAAAAGTAACAATATACTGTGATGCTGTCATACTGACTGTTTGGATGTTATGAAAGCTGACCTGACTTGTGAGGTGGGTTATAAACTTGCCTAGAAAAGAACATAATAAATACAGCAAAACAAAGAATTGTTTAATAATTCCTTTTCCACTAGACCTATTGGAGGGAATAGAGTATTATTCCCTCTTAAAGAAAATAGCACAGTTAACTGATGTTATTAACACCATGTGAGATAATCCTCCTAGTGTTTTCAAGATGGAAATGAGATTCAAACTGGAATCCATAGCTGCTAGAAACTTAGTGATATTCACAAAAGATAATAAGACGTCTTAATATTTTCTCTGAAGGTTAGGAGCCAGGTCCATTATAGGCCAGGAAATCTTTCAGCAGTCACATAATCTGCTTTGTGTGCTTTGTTATGAGGTGTAACAATGAAATCTTTATATACTTATCCAGAAATAAGCACCATTTTAAAAACATACAGAATATAACATTAAAGAAAAGCAAATCAGGATTACTTTCCATCCCTTTGGGTGGCTAAGGATCTATATTTTCCTTGATCCTAAAATAATTTTAGAGGTATCACTATATGAAGTATATGTTAAAAATGATTTTCTGGGATGTTTCAAAAGCTGACAAAAGTAACAGCTCTTGGATCTAAGCTGACGATTAAACTAAGATTAAATAAATCAAAACATCCAGTCACTGCCTCTACAAACACCGAAGTTCTAGTATCCTTTTATAATATCAGCAAACATGTACATTAATGTACAGATGTTATTTCCTGCTTATCTTAAATAAAAGTTTTTCCTGTTTCTTTTTTAAATCTAAGGGTTTTTTCATCTATTATAAATGGCAAACTTTACAAGAAGGGAACCATTTTGAAAACAAATAAAAGCTAAATATATGTGAAGAACATAGGCTAAAAGCTTCATTTATTTGGTTTTAAGAATACATTTAGTGTTCATATTTGAAAATGAATAAAATCATTAAAAGCAGCCATGATTTGATATTCAGATCCAAACAGGTTTTGCCTTATAGCCCTATAAAAGATGCATCAACTGCATATCTTCTTCTTAATGTAATATAACTAAATACCGTGTTTCTCCAAAAAGATGACCCACCTTGAAAAGAAGCCCTATCACATTTTTGAAGGTATGCAATCAAATTAGCTCCACCCACAAACTTAGCTCTAATTAAGACCCTGCCCACCCCGGGATGCAGGGGGCGGGTTGAGGCACAAATGAGGATCAGTCCGGAGCTCTGTTATTAGCTGTAAATGCCTTCTGGAAAGCCCTCTGCAGCTGATAATAGAGCTCCGGATTGATCCAGAGCTCTGTTATCGTCTGCAAATGCCTTCCAACAGACATCTAAAAGTGAAACGGAGGCCAGATGCATGCGAGTGGCGGCAAGCGGCCACAGAAGTAGACCAGCAGTGGGCTCCTGCTGGGGGGGGGGGCTGTCAGTGTCACCGCTGTGAGGTGAATCAATAATTAGAACCCTGCAAAAGAAGGCCTAGCTGTTTTTTCAGGAGTCAAAAGAAAATAATACCCGGCCTTCTTTTTGGAGAAATAAGGTAACAACACTTTATACTCTATAGCAGAGAACAGCTGGAAAATAATCAAGAATATGGCTTCCTGTTACCAAAATATACAGGAACATATCATAGTAAAGGGCAAGCCTCATCATTAGCAAGATGAAATTCTAAAGAGAAAATAATAAAATTCTTTTCCAAAAACTCTATCGAGTTTTTAATTATTCTATGCCAGATAAGGAAAAAACACCCATTCTTTTTTATCATCCTATAACTTTTGGGAAGAGAGAAGTGACAGCATGATTTATTGAAGGGAACTTCTAATAGTATTGAAAGCTTATGTGTCTGGGCAGATAATTTGCCTTTAGCTTCATGATGGAGAATAACTTGTAGAACTCCAGGCAAAACTTTCTGATTGATGAATGAGTTCCCACATTTTTCTATGGATTACTGTATTGTGGCCATTAAAAAATGTCATCAAAATCCTCTGCAAGAAAATGTGCCTTTTCTCTCCTTTCAGGTAAACGGAGATGGCAGATAATAAAGGAAAGGTTTTGAATTACAATCAAGGCATATTTACTTTTAAAGGTCTTATAAGTGGCTACATTTTTGTTTTTTTCTCTTTTTCTAATTTAGGTGCCGTATTCTGAACTGGGAGGAAAAACTTTAGTGATGGCTGTATATGACTTCGACCGCTTTTCTAAGCATGATATTATTGGAGAATATAAAGTTGCCATGAACACTGTAGATTTTGGTCATGTGACTGAAGAATGGCGAGATTTGCAGAGTGCTGAAAAAGAAGAGGTAAGAAACTATATCCTTTGTTAGAATTCATTCAGTTTTAATCTTAGCTTCTGTGTTTCATTCATTAATCTTAGCATAGCCTTTTTAAATGAAGAAAATAATGAAAGTCTCAATGCAAAGCAATTCCCTGGCACAGGAGAGATTACCTGTAGGACTTCTCATCTCAGGAGTGATACCCTAAATGCATGCATATTTTGGCTCACTTCTTGGGACCCTGGAAAGTTTTCACTTATTTCACTTATTGATGTACATCCCATGTTGAACTGATGTACAAGTTCTACATTATAGCCATGATGCTTAAGATCAGAATATTGTAGCTAAAGGTCTTCAAATTTCATTTTGTCTGTTATGTGCCCTAGCTATTCGTTTTTATCTTCTTGCCCTTCTAATATGTACAATCAACTATTTCTTTAGTTTGTTTTGTGTTATGGAATCTAATACTGGGCACCTCTTTTTGAAAGTATCTTGGGACTCAGGCTCATTTCTTGGGACCCTGGAAAGTTTTCACTTATTGATTTCAGATAGTTCATATACCGTGTTTCTCACAAAATAAGGCCAGGCCTTTTTTTTTTTTGACCCCCCCCCAAAAAAATGGCTAGGCCGTCTTTTCAGGGGTGACTTAACTTCTCCCCCTTGCACCCTCGGGCGGGTGGGTGGCGATGGCTTGGATGTTGACCTTCCACCACCGTTGCTTTCCCTTCTCCCTGTGCTGCCGCAGCGTTTAGAGCAATGCCGCGGCATTTGGCACAGACATGCGGCATTTGGCGCAGCCATGGGGGGCCAGCCAGGGTTCCCCCCTGCAACCAGAGTCCGGTGGAGACACTCAGCTTCAGGCGCTCCTGTTGCCACCTTCCTGGGCATCGTTTGAAGGCAAAGCCCATTCTTTTAAAAATGACACCCTACTATGACAAAGCCTCCCCTGCCCGAGAGGGTAGCCCAAGCCCACGTGGGGAGGCAAATCTCCCCGGGCCACAGTGCAGGATTGGCCCACCCCAGGAGAAGCACCCAACCTCCATCCCTGCCTGGCGCCAGGCTCTGTGAAGAGCTTCACCTGGGGTGCCCAGCGCAGCTGACAGGCAGGCCCTCCTGCCTGGTGGTGGAGCTCTGGCCAAGGCAGTGAGTGCCTCCTCGCTGGGCCTTCCGCTCATCCCACCAGGGCTGCACCAGAGCCAGGCGGGCTGGGCAGAGCCAGGAAAGCGAGCCGTGGGTGCGCGCCCGCCTGCCAAGTAAAAGAGCTGGGACGACCTGAGCTTGGCTTCCTTCCCAAGTCCCTCAAGCCCGACCCCGAAGGGGCCACTGGGAGAGGCCACCGAGGCAGTGATAGCACCCACCCATCCGTCAACGCAGGCAGCACCATATCCAGGTATGCAACAAAAGTACTTCCTAACAGCAACCCCCCCGCCAATCCCCCCCATTTTGCATGTTTAATATAGGCCTTAATTTGGGGGGAGGGGCTTAATTTCATTTTATGCCTATAAAACATGCTGGGACTTCCTATTGGGGAGGCCGTATTGTTGGAGAAACACAGTAGAAGTTACATGTAGCTAAGATAGTATAATATACATAATTTCTTAGGGTCACCTGAATTTAAATGAAAATCTATATATGTGGAACATGATTGATTGATTGATTGATTGATTGGCCAAATGCTGTTTCAAATAAAATCAATATGACAGGTTCTGTTACACCAGGAAATGTTGTATGATTTTTTACTTTTTTCCCCCTCTTCAAATTGAACTTTGGGAACCTGGTTGATAATATAAAGAGTAAAGTTAACCAAAAATATTTTTATTATTGATAGTTGATTGATTTGGTTTCAAATAGATAGCAAGTTGAAATGTGTTTCCCAGTGCTTGAGTCTTTGTCTATCTTTTTATAATATGTGTACCAGTTTTCTGTCGTCTTGTTCTAATCAGAAATCATTTTCAGGAACCAATAGAACTTTGAATTTACTAAGGAAAATGGCCAAAAACAGCTTTACTATCTTCATTATATGCTACTGGCATTTCTTCTTGGCACTCAATTTCCATATTTATTTGTGGCACATTGTGGTGGTGTAGATGAATCTTTTAGGGCTAAACTATAGAAGAAATATGGGAACTAAACTATTGCAATAAATAGACTAATGTTCTTTCTGAGATTCTAGGCTTGACAGTAGCATAGATCAATGTCAATATTTATTGGGAATGATGGAAGTTGAACTCAGTCCCATGTAAATAATACATAATAGTTTGAAAGATTGGTGTTTAGAAAGTCATTGGAAAAGGATGCTAAACAATTTTTAAAAGAAAGTTTTCTTAATATATACTTAACATAACAGGAAGAATAAGTAAACATTATGTTCACTACTTAATGAGTATGGCAAAAGCCTTCGCCACTCCAAAAAAGAGACAGAACAACTCAATTTTGGCTAGCCTTCTCCAAAAGTGGATACATATTACCATGAAGAATTATAAAAAGCACAACTGCAACTGCAGCTTGATTGAAATATAATCATCTATGATCATGTATGAGTTCATATATAGGCATTTAGGTGAAATAATATCCTAGAATACTGAAGGAACAAATCTTTACCCCAAGTTGACTTATCATGTGCTTATATACATAGTTGTTAATATAGATTTCAATTTTACTAGACAAAAATAAAATTCATAAAATATTTATGCAATGTCTCCATTTGTAGGGAGATTTTTCTTACGCTTGGTACTTTTTAAGAACCATTTCAAATGCTACCATTTATGCTTGTCTCAATGCACTGAAGATACTCCACAATCTCTCTAAGCAATTAATTCTACTGCCAAACTTTTCATATTATTGTGGGAGAGGAGCTTTTCCCAATACAGCCAGAATATACGTACCTTCTTGATAATTTTATTTGGATCACTGTACTGAGCAGGAAGTTACAATTCAATGGCCTGCAAAGTCCTTCCAATTTTAGGCTGCAATAATGGCCACTGGATTAGGAAAGGCCATCTTTGATTATCTATATTTGATATGAGCCACAGGTATTCTGTTGTGAGTATTCTGTATGAAATGGCTTTATGATGATTTTAAACAGCAAGATGGGCCTGTTATATTGAGACAATAAAATGTCATGAGCTACCCAAACAAAACAGCAAAAATTGATGCAAAGATTGCTGAGGCCAGATGTGCATCACTGGCTATGTGTTTGGCTTGTTAGTGCTCAACAGCATGGTACCACAACCTGGCCCACTAATTATTGTAAAAACATAATTAAAATCAACTTAAAACCCGAAGCTTCTGGATTCCATCCAAATTATACAACAAATGTAATTATGTTCCATTACTGAAAAGACATTTGATAACAGACTTCATTTCCTTTCTTTTTTTAATTACTGAATGTAATGTTAGTCATAAAAAAACCAAATGTACAGTCTGTTCCACTAATACACATTTTATGGAGAATTTTTCTTTCTTCATTTTATATCTATGTATTACTAAAATCTTCACTGTCATGACTTTTAACTGAGCAAAATGGTGCATCATAGGGCAACAATTTTTGAACCAAGGTACTTCATATGGGCTAATTTACAGAATGTGTTTAAAATCCAGGATCCATAATTCCCAAAGGAATGAAATTTGGGGAAGTTGTCACTACTTTAATGCTACCATACTGGCTGCTGGTAAACTACAAGGGGTGCTGCAATGCTCACATGTTCTTCATTTCCAGTATTTCATGACAGTTTCCTAGACAGTCTTTCAATCACTTGCTCCCTGGCCTTTGCAACAACAGCAGGTAATTAATTACCTGTTTGCAGGGAAGGGAAGGGAAGGGAAGGGAAGGGAAGGGAAGGAAAGGAAAGGAAAGGAAAGGAAAGGAAAGGAAAGGAAAGGAAA